TCTATCCAGTAGAAGTCTAGTTCTGTTTCTTCAGGATCACACAAAATGTGAGCCAGTTCCAGTTCAATCAGATCACAGATCTACAAACATTCTGATTAAAAAATAAATAAATCAAACAAACCAAAAAAAAAAAAAACACAGGATACTTGATAAATCTGGATACACAAAGACAGATAGATAAATCTAAACAGGAAATTGAAGGTCCTATTTAAGATTATTCTGGGGATCCAGAGTCAGTCATGTCATAGTCCATGATCATATACAAAAAACTGGTTAGTAATTTCTATGACACTAATGCTATATTTTTTAGTACACTCACATATACATGCAAGAATAGAAAATGCAAAATATACATACCTAACTATCTTATTAACAAAGTAACAATCATACCATACTATGTGCTATAAGATTTTTTGGTTTCATCTCTTACAAATATCGCCTACTTGACAAACTGTCATAAGAAGGCCTGTGTGTTTTTGCATTGATCTCTTTGTCATTTGTTCTTGCTCGTTGTTATGAGGTGGTACTAGGCCCATGTTTCAGCAAGATGACGTACAGCCACACGTGACAGGCTCATTGTTGAAAGACAAACTACCTCCTCACAGTGATGTTGTAGGCAACAGGGCCTCTGAATGTGAACCCCAGGTAGACTGTGATGTTTTCATTACTATGAGGCACTGAAGGAACATGAAGAGGCAAGATATTGAACTTCTTTTTCCGAGGGCCTTTAAGGTACACCACTCCGTTTTCAGTCCATCCCAAAACACACTTCAGCATCGTGACAAATGTGACGGAAATTCTCCTCTCTGAAGAAGTGACGGACTCGGTGTAAGGAATCAAGTTTCTTTAATGCATACAGCATGGAGAGAAGATGCAAGTGTTCTCTGACAACCTTCAGGATCTACAGACCTTTATACCAAACCAAAGCATTGAATCCTGATTGCACCTACCAGCTGCACTCGAAAAGGAGATTGCCCCCCTAATAAAAGGTTTATCAAAACAGGAAACTTCCCGCCAGGAACTGTAAGGTCATGACCTCACGGTGTGAAGAATTGCCATACACAAAATATGCAAATTGAATTCACAATTGTTCGTTTAAGATTTGTCAAAACTATACAACATAAACATTAAACACTAAAACACAGAACACAAACTAAAAAATATAATTATACCATTTCATTCTCTGAATCAATGAAAGGAATTCCAGGGGCCCATTTTGACATTAAGTAGACATTCTGTTCATTATCAGTGGTTTGCTCAAGAGGTATTTAACATACAATGTTTTTTCTCCTCCAACTATTCTACCTATCCATCTGTACATGAGGGCTTGCATACAAGTAAGTGCACAGGTACAAAAACATACACCAAAAACAATCAGAACAGGGATCAGGACATGAATGATCAGAGCACCCCAGGTGCTAAAGTGGTTATTTAACCATTTGTTGAAACTAAAACCTGCTGATTCAGAGGGACCAAATGCAGTGCGAATTTTGTCAAGTGTAGTGATCACATTGGTAATGTTATCTGAATTATCCAGAATGATTGTCACACATGCCTCTCCTGTTAAGTTTGTCATGCATAAACCTCCAGTTTTTGCCAAAACATAATCAAGAGCCATCTCATGTTTAAAAGAGTTAATCTGTGCGACTTATCATTTGCAGTACTGAAAACCTTTAATTGTTTCATTTGCAAAAGCAGACATTGAATACGTAATGTTATCTACGTGATAAGCCAGGAATGTGACACCATACCTCGGAAGCAGGCCAATACCCCATTTTTCACCTAAGGAAATGCGCCAGTGGTAAGATTCAAGATTAGTAAACTGTGCTATTTCCCTTTTATGAATGTGATCATGCTTGGTATTTTGGGTCAGAGTTATAGAGTGTAGTGCCAGATAAGTAAGGGTAAGATTAACAAAATAACAGCAACCAGACCATCTTGGAGGCAAGAAAAGGAATGCGTTAATGCTACAAAACCAATAAAAATTACTAAAAGGTGGTATGCCTTTATATGCAGGTGCATTAAGAAATGTATTAACTGTGATCATCTCTCCATTTCTAAAAGTGATCTTAGTGGGGTCAGAAGTTGGTTTGAATTTGAATAAACTGGCAATAGGGTTTGGGCGATATGACATCCCCATAAACTGACCTGCGCCATTTGAACATAAACAAACGTGGTGTGAAATGCTTCTGTGTATAGGGACCTCAGTTGGCTCTACAGTATCTGAGTTGAAAGGGATGGTTTGTGGAAGCATGTGATCAAAGAACCAGTCTAAACATGACAAATATACTTTTGATTGCTCTGCTGTATGATTATATATTTCTACTAGCATTATACCACATATGATGGGAAACCTTGCAATATTCCCGTGTAGCATCATATATGTATGGATTATTTGCAAAATACTGAACTAAACAAACAACTGGATCTAAGCACAGACAATCTTTTACCTCAAGTTGGAATAAGGAATGCCAATTTGCTGGAGGACTCTGAATGGCCAAAACAGTGGTAATTTGGGGCCATACATTCTAGTTTTTATCCACTGGATGAAGGAATAACAACTATTTTGTTGCCTGAAATTATCAGTTAGGTTACCAGCATCAACCCCCCCCCGGGTTTCCAATCATTCTGCCCACTCAACTGTCGTTTGTTTCTGATCAATTGCTGTTCCATAACGGCTCTGATATTGTCTTCTTCTGGGATGTCTTGACTCCACGTAGGTGACATACCAATGCCACGTCTCCCCTCTGTGTCTTCTTGCGCCCTCGATGATATCAGTATTGTTTTTTAAGCATTGTGGTTTCCAAAAATATATGCGCTTTATGAGCGTGTGAATCTGAAATAACGATTTCTGAAACACCAGAGATGTCTTTCAATCTTTTAATGCTTTACATGGGAAACAGTCATGGCAGAGTTCGATCAGTGAGCAACTTACAGAAGGCATTTGTTTGAGCAAAGTTAATACAAGTGATGGGTTATACAGTTATATAGTAATTTTCCATTACACTCCTCCCTTTTGATCATTTATTGATCACTCAAGTATGTACAACATAACACCAACATCAAACCTAAATTCCTGAAGGATTCAAACTAGGTCATCATGAACGTGAAATGTGAAAAGCAAAATGCTGTTTTTGCGGAACACAGACATTCCTATTTGAGGAGCAAGCTGGGAGGATAGAGACATGTATTTACACAGAACCATCATCAATGTTATCAGTGTCAGAGTCGAGATCATAGTGAGGTGGTTGTGGAAGCCATTCAGGAGTAGGGAGGAGGTCGGGTGTGTCGAAGTTGTCAAATTTTAACAAAGCATAAGATTCAAGATCTGCAAGGTTCGTCATTTGTTTACAAACTGATCTGTCAATTGCTCTAATTACCAGTCCCCTAATGCAAGGAATGACAATAACAACCACAAATACTCAGCATGGTCAGAGCAACAATCACACCTGTGAAAAGAGATATAGCCTAATCAAAGTTTTCCATGTGCCAAAAACAGAGTCAAACCATCCAAACAAACTTGTGTCAATACCAGAGTTTTCAGACAGTTCATTACGGAGAGATCCCAGTCCCTCCAGGGCACGGGTGACTATGTAGTCTGGAGCAGTGTTGTTGGGAATGAAAGTGCACCAGGAATCACCAAACATGACACAGACACCTCTCTTTTCAGCCAGGAGCATGTCAAGAGCCATTCTGTTCTGCCATGCCATGAGGGAGGTGGCAGATAACTGTTCAGCTAGGCCTTCAACTGCCGCATAGGTGAAGTTGATGAAACACTGTTGGTTGTAGTAGATGTAATTGATCCAGTCAGTGTTCTTGCTAGTTTCAATTATAGTGCCAATTAAAGGGATGACAGAAGTCCGTCCCCCAGCAATTTGATCACGTGCTTTATGTTCATTAGGCACACTTCTAGGAATGCCAATTGCATCTATAAACTCTGTCATCAAAACTACCAGGAACTGTTTGCTTGGTATGTTGACTCGATTACGATGATGACTGCCAATGAAGCAAGAATGCATGTTGTGCCACACAGGCCACACAAGCCTGGGTGTCTGAATGGATGCCAAGGACGTTGTCGCCCTTCCATGGTGCACACAGGCGAGTTGGTGTTCACACCTTACAGTCTGGAGCCCTAAAGATGTGCAACTGCTGGAGCTTGGAGTGCGAGCAGAGAGCTCAATCAGCACTCCTCCCTCACAGTTGAGGCACCAGAACAGGGGTGAGAATTACCGCATCGACCTGGTGATGGGTGGAGCAGAGTGCTTTACTTCGCCGTCTGCTCAGGGGAACCCTCAGGCGGAGGTGGGACCTTACAACAGTGGCTGGCGTGGATCCAAGTAGCCCTTTCAACAACCTTCAACGCGGTGTGTGTCGTTAGGAGCACCTCCCATTTCCAGATTGGGCAGCAAAAAGAATCTCAAAGGGACTGAAGTTAGTACTCGCCTGCTTTCTCATTCTCATGTACATCAAAACAATGGGCAGCGCTTTTGTCCATGAGAGACCTGTATCTTCACAACATTTTGCCAGCTTAGTTTTCAAGGTACCATTTTCTCGTTCCACAGCACCTCCACTGGCGGGGTGGTAGGAACAATGTTGTCTCAGGTCGATACCTAGAAAATGACCAAGCTGTCTGATGGCCTCACTGACAAATGGTATACCATTGTCACTGCTGATTGTGGTCGGGATTCCCCATCTGGGAACAGTGTCTGTCATCAAGGCTTTGGCTACAGCAGCACAGTCCTGTTTTGATGTGGGGAAGGCTTCAACTTGTGAAATCAAAGATCGGTAACAGCAAGGTTTGTGGGAGTGATGTCAGTGCAGCAGATTAAGTCCAGTATGTGACCTTTGTTATGGGTTGGGAGGTTGACATGTTGTGTGATGCCGAGACAGTCCAGGAGTGATGTGAGGTCATTTTGAACTGTATGCGATGTGTGATGGGGAGCCAGTGTAGGTTTTGGAGGATGGGGGTGATGTGGGTGTGGGTGAGCAGGCAGGCAGCGGAGTTCTGGATGTATTGAAGTCTATTGAGGAGTTTGAATGATGAGCCATAGAGGATGCTATTGCAATATTCCAGTCTGGATGTGATAAATGCATGGATGAGGTTTTCTGCGGCAGAGAAGGTGAGTGAGGGGCGGAGATGGGCGATGTTCTTGAGATGGAAGAAGGCAGCCCTGGTGATGTGATTGATGTGGTGGTCAAACCTTAACTGGCTGTTGAAGACGATTCCTAGGTTGCAGGTATGTGGTGAGGGAGACAGAGTGCAGTTATCGAAGGTGAGGCAGAAGTTGTGGGTGGCTTTGGTGCGATGTGGGGTCAATGATGATTATGTCTAATTTGTCACTGTTCAGTTGGAGATAGTTTGTTTGCATCCATGATTTTGCATGGCTTTACAACTGCACACCTTAGATCCTTCCTTTTGTTCCACAGCACTTGCTTCCTCCACTTCCTGGATGATGGTAGATGTTTATAGTTTGAGTTTGAGTTTGAGTTTGAGCTGCATTGTATTGAGAAAACTGGAAACCTCATGATAACCATCTCTTCCAATTACCTCTTCTACATACTTCTGCTTAGCAAGCCAGAAATTCAACCAGATCACTCCCACCATGAAAGAACTGCTGTCAATGTTTAGTACATTGTCATCCATACCATGTGCTATAAGATTTTTTGGTTTCACCTCTGTAATGTTACCTCCACCAAGATGATAGATGATCATGCGTTTTTGGAAAGGAGTCAGATTGTCTGGGATTGATTGCCCATGCTGCAGTGCAGTAGAATAAGCTTCACTGAAGTACTTCCCATACTCTGCAGATTTTTTTGCCAACCATGTCAGCAGCTGGCTTATCTTCTCTTCAGGATTTTCAGGGTATTTTCTTCATCTGCACCGATGTCTGTCTGGGAGTAGCTGAGGTCTTCTGAAATCCGTTCCAAGGTATCTTTCATTGACTTGTGAAGTTTTTTCACACGGTCATGAAATGGTTCCCAGACATGTTTCACTTCCTCAATAGCTTGGCGTTTAGCTTGGCACCATTTTTTGTAAACCTGCCCTTTTGTATTGAGCATGTATGGGTTGTTGGACAGCTGTTTAGCTGCTGTCTCTGCCCGGTCTTTTGCCTGAAGACGATCCAGTTGTTGTGCAAAGAATGGATCTTTAAGGAAACACTGGTATGCTTCCTCTAATAACTCAATTGCTTTGTCTGGGATTTTCTCCTTTTCACACACATGCTCAATCAGGGGAGAGACACTCTTTGCCAAACTGCTTTGGGTCTGTTTGTTCCCCAAAAGCTGTTTGAGAATTTCTTCTGCAACAAGTGGGTGGATGATTCTGATTGATTTAATGTGTGTCTTGTCATCTCTCAGGTGCAAGAACAGTAATTTAGCCTGTTCACTGAGAGATTTCTCAAACTCATGCTGGCGAAACCTTTCAGAGTGAACAGTTAGGGCAAGCAAAGCTTCACAATGGGACAGAGGGATGAAAGAGTCTTGAACATAAGTGTTCAACAGTGCTACATAGAGAATGAGGCGAGTGACATCAGAGTGATGGTCAATGTCTTGGAGCAAATGTTCCACAAACTGTTGAACATATCTCTCATTGAATCCTTCACTCATCAACACAAGGGTAAGGATGAATTCAGGCTTATATTGTTCTTCAAGTGCCTCTCCTTTTCCAGCAAATTTTCTTTTCTCTTGAACAGACAGCTCATGAGTGACAGACACATTCTGTAGTGGAGACTCCTTGCATTTCTTCTCTGGATCAAGGGATCTTCTGCAGCTCAACAAAATAAAACACGGAGTTACAAACTGAATTATTCTAGTGTTAATGGCAACCTCCAGTTTATTCCTGAGATCATCTAGATATTCTTTGTCTGAGTCTTCAATGAGGAGCAGCACAGGAAGACATTTCTGTGGATCTTTTTCTTCATATTCTCTTAGTTTAATTACATGTTGCGCAACAAGAGAAGCTGAGTATGAAGGCTTGACAACTGCACACCTTAGATCTTTCCTGTTGTTCCACAGCACTTGTCTTGCAACAGTGCTTCCTCCACTTCCTGGGTGATGGTAGATGTTTATACTCTTTACTGGAGTTTGATCTGCATTGCATTTCAAAGCACCATTGAGAAGACTGGAAACCTCATGATAAGCATCTCTTTCAATTACCTCTCCCAAATGCTTCTGTTCAGCAAGCCAGAAATTCAACCAGGTCACTCTCCCACCACGATAGAACTGCTCTTCAATGTTTGCTTTTTTCTCTCTGATGAATTCTTCACTTGTTTCATCGCAATGATAGACTGTAAGAATCTCCAGAGAATACATCTGTTCCTCTGCCTGTGTTTCTAGTAGACATGTCCCTTTCACAAAGATTGACAGGTGTTTGCTGGCATGTGCTTTTACAGGTTGTATTTGCTGCAGAGTTGCATTAACGTGACTCATTTTCATCCCAACAACACTGCAATTGTTCATTTCAGTTTCTGTTCCACATGACCCCTCTGCAAAGCTTTGCCACTTTTGGAAGTTTTTCTGTGATTCACAGATGCAGATGATGTCTTCATGGCCTTCCATGTCTGTGAAAAACTTCTTGAAAGTGTGCAAGAGTGGTTTCTCAACTGGTGATGTGAGAAGAAAAATTACCTGGAACGTCCCCTTTGGTAAGATTTGTTTACAGATCAAAGACACAGATTCCTGCAGGCACGTCATTTTTGTCTCAATCCAAGTCATTTCATCACATGGAGTTTCATTTCCTTTGAAGTCAGCACAGCCATTACAAAAGATCCAGCTAGTTTGGTCAAACAAATGCAAGCTGCTTGTGAATTCTTTGATGCTCTTGTCACCAGATATCCTGTAGCTCTGCAGAGAATGCATGTTTGCAGCGTGATGCTGAAGGTATTTACTGCAAAGACCTGAAATCTTTGAGTCTGGGTCAAAGTC